CTAAAGTTCAGCTACTTTGAGCAGCTAAGAGATGGTGGGACTCAGTGATACCATCTTATGGTGAGAAGTATTCTTGGGAAGATTTCAAGAGGGTGTTCTTTGATCACTATTTCCTAGCATCTTTTCTTACTGAAAAGGAGGAGGAATTACACTTGTTCAGATAAAGGGATTTGGATAAGGAAGAGTTCATCAAGAGATTTAATGATTTGTTAGTCTATTAAACTTATCTACAGTACCATAATGACATGAAGTAAAAGGCAGAGCGATTGTTAAGGAAAATATGTCCAGAGTACTGGTAGCAGATTGCTCTATTTGGTATTACTACCTATGAAGAACTGTGCCATAACTTGAGAATGGCTGCAAGAAGAGGTAGAGAAGTTGAGGTTGAGAAGAAGAGAGGCAGTATACGAAGGTTTACTTCTTCCTTAGGTCTGTTGAGTAGTATTTTGAAGAAGCCCATTTATAGCTTAAGTAGTTTTGGAGCTTCTAAAAAAAAGAGTTTTGCTAAAGGTTCTCAAACCCAGACTATTCAGACAGGTTCAATGTAGTGAAGTATTGGGGTTAGCATTGGGCCTCCACAACCTTCAAGGCAAGCTTCAAGTATGTGCTATAGATTTCATGTGGGCAATTGGTAGTCCTATTTCAAGTATGGTAAGCTAGGGCATATTGCCAAATATTGTCCCAAAGGTGGAGTTGAAGCAACAGAGCAGTGGTTGATTGTTCCAGGATGAGTCATTACAGTGACAAAAGAAGAGGCCAGAGTATCTCTGAACCTGATCGAAGGTATCATTTCTGTTTGTGGTAATAGAATAAAAGTATTGTTTAACTCAAGAGAAACACATTCTTTCATTTTAGAAGAATGTGCAGATAGACTGAAACTAGAGCTAAAAGAGTTGCCTATGTTGATTAGACTGATAACACCTTCAAGGTCCTCAAGCATTATGAGTAAAGCTTGTCAAAAAGTATAAATTGTGTTTGAGGATTAGATATCTATGATCAATCTAATTTGCATTCCTATGAAAGGGATTAATGTAATTGTTAGCATGGATTGGCTACCAGCTAACAATTTTATGCTAGACTGTGTTAGGAAATTAGTGTCTTTGCCAGTGTTGATGGTAGGAACTAGTTCTACTAGACAGATCAAATTTTTATTAGTTGTGTAAGCTGAGAAGTTGATCAAACAGGGGTATTGTGCGTATATTGTGATTTATGCAGCTAGCAGTGTGTATAATGGGGGTATTGAAAAGATTGGAATAATAAGCGAGTTTCCTGATGTATTTTCAAAAGAGATGTTTGGATTACCTCCGAAAAGGAAAGTTGAATTCTCAATAGATTTAGTTCTTCACACAGAGCCAATTTCTAAAGCTCTATATCGAATGCCACCCTCAGAATTCAATAAATTAAAGAAGCAAATTGAAGATTTGCTTGATAAGGGTTTCATCAAACTAAGTATATTGCCTTAGGGATTGTCGATGTTATTTGTGAGAAAGAGGGATGGCAGCTTAAGGTTATATATCGATTACTGGGAGTTGAATAAGGTAATAGTGAAGACTACCCTTTGCTCAGGATCGAAGATTGGTTAGATCAGTGGCTGGAGCCTTAGTCTTTTTTAAGATTGATTTGAGGTCATAGTATTATCAATGGTTGGACACATTATAGGAATTATGAATTCCTTGTCATACCATTTGGTTTGACTAATGCACCTATGGTACTCATAGATTACATGAACTATATTTTCAGGCCATATCTAGATCAGTTTGTTATGGTTTTTATCGATAACATTCTAGTTTATCCAGAAGACAAGGAATAATATGCCAAGCATCTTAGGATTGTGCTTCAGATCCTAAAAGAGAACAAGTTGTATGCTAAGCTCAGTAAGTGTAAGTTTTGGCTAAAGGAAGTTAGGTTTTTGTGTCATGTGATATTAGCAGATGGGATTTTTGTTAATCTTCATAAAGTTGATGTTGTGTTGGAAGGGGAGAAACCTAGCTCAGTTATGGAGATTTGAAGTTTTTTAGGATTAACTAAATATTACTAATGGTTTATCTAAGGTTTCTCTTAGATTGCTTCTCTATTAATGAAATTGACTTGTAAAGATCAACCCTTTATCTAGGATGACAAGTGTGAGACTGTATTTCAGAAGTTGAAAGAAAAGTTGACTACTATACGTGTGTTGCTAATTCTAAATCTGAGATTCCTTATGAGGTGTACACGGATGATTCTCTGAAAGGTTTGAGTTGTACGAGTAATGGCTTATTTATCAAGGCGACGAAGACCACACGAAGAAAATTACCCAGCTCATGATTTGGAACTTGTAACAGTAGTCTTTACATTGAAGATTTGGTGTCATTACCTATATGGTTCAATGTTTAGTGTGTATAGTGACCATAAGTGCTTAAAGTATTTGGTAGATTAGAAAGAATTGAATATGAGATAGAGAAGGTGGATGGAGTTGCTCAAGGATTATAAGTTTGAGTCGAAATAACATCTAGGGAAAGCTAATGTACTAGCTGATGCATTGAGTAGAAAGGCACTGCATGTGGCAAGTATGATAGTACAAGAGCATAGCTTAATGGAGTCTTTTATAGATTCTTAATAAGACATACCACTAAAAGCTGTAGTTGCTGCCTATATTACCATAATCAATAGTGATTTTTGGAAAGAGTTAAGAATGGCACAGTTGGAAGATGAATATCTTCTTGGAATCCAAGAAGATGTTGAGTTAAAACTATTTAAGGATTTCAGTCTTAATGATGATGAATTCAAGGTGTACCAAGATAGAATTTATTTTCCTAATGATGCGAACTTGAGAAAAGTGATTTTGAATGAAGCACACTAGAGTAAATACACTATTGACCTAGGAATTGTGAAGATATACTAGGACGTGAGTGCCATTGGTGATGGCGATGAATGAAGAGAGAAGTGATAGAATTTGTAGCATGGTGCTTGACTTATCAGAAGGTTAAGATCAATCATTAATGACCAGTTGGAACATTGCAGCCATTAGAGATACCTAAGTAGAAATAGGACAGCATTTCCATAGGTTTCATCTCTAGGTTTCCAAGAACTTAGTCTAGACATGATGTTATCTTGGTGATTGTTGATCGATTAATGAAGTCAGTTCACTTCTTAGCCATCAGGATCGATAATTCTTTAGAGAAGTTAGTAGAGATTTATATTCAAAAAGTTGTGCAATTGCATGGAGTACTAAAGGATATAGTTTCTGATAGTGATCTGAGGTTTATGTCTAGATTTTAGGGAGCATTGCAAAGAGCCATGAGTTCTACTTTTAAGTTTAGTACCGCTTATTATCCTCAGATTGATAGACAAATAGAGTGAACCATTCAAACTTTAGAAGATATGTTGTGATGTTCTAGTGTTCTATCTTGACTTTCTAACATGTCAAACACCTAAAAACAAACTCAGTTATATCCCGCTTCATTCCATGCCACTACCACCGCTTCTTCATATCTTGGTACATCTTAGTGGCACCAGGGTGAATTGTTAGCTTACTCCTGTGAGCTTCTGATAGCTTACTCCTCTCTAATCTCCTTATCATCAGGAACACACATGCGGTCATGATACAACACGAAGCCATCATCACTAAAACCAAAAGCTGTCCTTTAGTTTTCCTTAATTTCCTCCCGGATTTCCAACAAATACTCATCTTCTAATTGTGCTTTTCTCAATTCTTTCCAAAATTTACTTGTAATCACCATGACATTCAAGTTGTATGACACAAAATTGGGAATATTCTTGCGCTCATTAGAGAAATTCTCTAGCATCTTATGCTCTTGCACCATCAAGAATGTTACGTGTAGCATCTTCTAACTCAACGCATCAGCTACTACATTAGCCTTACCCGGATGGTACTTTAACTCAAAATTGTAATGCTTCAAGAAATCCATCCATCTCCACTACTGCATATTCAACTCTTTTTGATATACTAGATATTTAAAGTTTTGTGGTCACTGTATACCTCAAATTGCATACCATAAAGGTAATGTCTCCATATTTTAAGCACAAACACCATTGCCGCAAGCTCAAGATCATGGGTAAGATAGTTCTCCTCGTGCAGTCTTAGCTGTCTCGAAGCATATGCCACAACTCTATCATCTTACATTAAAACACATCCAAGCCCCTTAAGTGAAGCATCCACATAAACCACGAATGGCAATTTCGGATCTGGAATGGTCAACACAGGTGTAGTCGTTAATCTATACTTCAACTCTTAGAAAGCCTCTTCACACTTGTTAGTTCATATGAAGGGATGATCTTTCTTAGTCAATTTGGTCAAAGCAAATGTAATTTGGGAGAATCCCTTAATAAACCTTCAATAATATCCTGCTAAACCCAAGAAACTTTAGATCTCGGTCACAGAAGTCAGTCTTTCCCATTGTAGCACCACATCCACCTCATGAGGATCAACTGCAATACCACTGACCGATATTATATAGCCTAAAAACTTTATTTCATGTAACTAGAACTCACATTTGCTCAACTTCACATAAAGCTTCTTCTCTTCTAGAATTTGCAACACAATCTGCAAATGCTTAGCATGTTCTTCCTCATCAACCGAGTATATTAAAATTATCATTAATGAAGACCATTACGAACTTGTCCAAGTAGGGCTTAAAGATTCAATTCATATAATCCATGAAGATTGCGGGTGTGTTCGTCAACCCGAAGGGCATAACAAGAAACTCATAGTGCTTGTATCTTGTTCTGAAAGCAGTCTTCAGCACATCATCTATTTTTACTCTTAACTGGTGATAGTCAAATCTCAAATCAATCTTAAAGAATACCGCTGCTCCAGCCAACTAATCCAACAAGTCATCAATTTGAGGCAACGGGTGCTTATTCTTAATTGTCACCTTGTTCAGCTGTCGGTAGTCTATGCCCAATCTCAAGCTACCATCTTTCTTTCTGACAAACATAATAGGCAAACCCCAAGGTAAAACACTAGGTCTAATCAACTCCTTCTCCAATAACTCCTCTAGCTACTTCTTAAGCTCATTCAATTCTATTGGATCCATCTGATAAAGAGCCTTAGAGATTGGCTTGGCACCAAGTACCAAGTCGATTGAGAACTCAATCCCTCTCTCTGGTAGCAATCTAGACACTTTGTCTGCAAACACCTTAGGAAACTTATTGACAACTCCAATGTTGTCTATTACTCTATCATATACCCCATGCATTGAGAAAAACACCATGAAAGTTTGACATCCTTTCTTCACTGATTTCTCTACCGATGGTGTAGTCCCATTATTCATTGTGGTCACCGTGTACATTGGTAGTGAAACTGTCTTTCTATTATAGTCTAACGTTGCTCTATTAGCAGATAACCAATCCATGCCAATTATCACGTCAATTCTTGATATGGGCAAATAAATCAAATCAATACTTGTGACTATTTCACCAAATTTCAACTCTACTTTCAACCAAGCTCGACTGGTTCTCACTGAAGCACCAACCGATGTAGACACATTCATCACAAAAGGCATTTCAACTATATGCAATTCCAGTCTTTGTGCACACTCATCGAAGATAAATGAGTAAGTGGCACCAGAATCAAATAAAGTAGAAATTTGTTGATTGTTTAAAGAAATCATACCTTGGATAAGCTTCAGGGAAGCTTCAGCCTCTTCCCTTGTCAAAGCAAACACATGACCAGGAATAGTAGATCTTTGATCAGTGTAAGGAGCATTCTTAGGGCAATACTGTGCAATATGCCTAGCTTTATAGTACTTGAAACATGTCCAATACTCCCCAATATGGTGTCTTCCACACTTGCTACACTATAAGGCTCTAATCGATCCAGCTACCATAGGAGCAGAATCCTGTCTCAAAGCTTGACTTTGCCCACTCATACTCCTGGGGGCATTGCTCCTCATCTGGGAACCTCTAAAATGTGAACCCCTCTGGAAAGTTCTCTTCTTACTACCACTACTACCTAGTCTAGATGGTCCAGAGCTATATCTAGCTCTCTTGCCAACACCTTTAGTAGGACTCGTATATGTAAAGAAATAGCCCCTAGCATCTCTCCTCTGGCTGTCCTTAGCCTCATGACCTCATCTGATCACTGCCTTCAACTTATTGGACATGTTGTTGTATGAGACAATATCAAAGGGTACTAGCTGCTATCTATAATCAGGTTGCATTTTCTCAAGTAATTGCTCAGCCTTCCAATACACATCATCATGATTCCTTAAGTAGGTTGAGTATTTGGACAACTCGTTGAACTTAGCTATGAACTCTTCTTCATTCATGTTCCCTTATTGCAACCAGTAGAATTCAGCCTCTTTCTCAGCTTTGAAGGAGGTAAGAAAATAGTAGGAGAAGAATCTCCTCTTAAACTTACTCAATAATAATGGAGACCTATTCGCCAGTCTCATACTATCCCACCACTGCTTGGTGGCATCCTCAAGCAAGAATGTAGCAAGTAGTACTTACTGCTCAGACGTGTAGGTCATAACAAAAAAGATCATCTCCAACCAATCTATCCACCTTTTAGCCGCTCTATTCTTTATGGAGCCCTCAAATGATGGAGGATTCAACCTTATGAACATTTTAAGGCTAAATTGATAGAGCTCTCTTGCTTTCTTCCTCTAGGCCTCATTAGTTCAGGCCTCCTCGGTCCACTCTCTTCATAATAATCCTCTTCTTGTCCCCTCTCAAGTCTTTCTCCACCATGACCGCTAACTCTCTCTACAGTCTTACTTGACTCTTCCGGTCTTTTCTTTAGAATCTCATCATGTTCATCTATTCTCTGTTCAATTCTTTCCATCATGCTCTTCAACTTGAACAATATATTCTCATTGCACATTGTAGGCCTTGGTTACTCACTAGCTTGACCCGAGCCTTGTCCCATCTCAACGCACTCACTAGGGACAATGTTCTCTTCTTGTACCAAGACTTCTTGCATTTGTCTTGATACATTCGTCGAAATGTTACCGACCGTATTTCTTGATTGCACCATTCTCCCCTTCTAAGTATGGAAGTTATCCCATAAAAGGTAAAATAATTAACACTAGCTCAAAGGGAAAATCATGTGTATAATGTCATTTGCCAACTTTTTATATGCAAATGCACCATTCACAAAACAAATTCTCAATTAGTTCACAAATCCACAGCCCAGCTCTCAAAACTAGAGAAACTAATACCAAACTATAACCTCCCTAAGGTTAAATCACATTTAATTCCAAATTATGGTAACCCAAGGCTTAACTCACAAGAATAACCAAACTGTAGGGTTTATAAATGAATTTCTCAAAATCTATTGCAAGGGAATCCTAATTTGCCATTTCAAATCTCAAATATAATTTAAGGACTCTAAATCAGAGTTTTGAAAACAAAGCAAAAGCTTGGAAATCAGTTGGGACCCAAAAATGAGTTTTAAAACTCAAAACAGATTTTTACACTAAATTTGACACATGCACTGCGGCTTACAGTTATACACCATGGCATGTCTTCTCTATGCCATGCGTCACAGTGTGAAGCGCCATGCGTCGCGGCGCATTACATAAAACTTGATAGATCAGTGTTGTCATTTGACTGTATAGGAAGTGAATTTCCAATGCGTCCCAAATCTCCATCTGATGTCCTATTGAGGTGGCTTCGGTGTCTACACGGAGCTTTCTTCTAGCTCTAGCTAATGGCATCACTTTCACGCTCAAATTCATTTTCTATCAAAAGTTGGACAATAAAACCCATTTTGACACATTTTTATAAAATTTCCTAAATAGGGTGTCCCAACTTAACCTCATGTGCTAATAGCCTACACTAACCCTCCGACCACACTCAATAGACTCTTGCAGACTCGTGTAACACACCACACGCAATCAAACACACTTATTTGACAAAATCACCTTTCAACCCTAATTTTCACAAAATATAGAGGGGGAGGAAAAGTTGCATAAAATCAACCATTTCATTCGTATTTCTCAAAAATACATATGTTTCTACTTGCACAAGTATTTTGGCCTTATCTTCGAGTTCACAACAAAAATTCACTAACCTAGGGCACAAAATATACTAGTTAAATACAAAATCATACAAGTAGTACACCAATCATGACAAGTTATCCTAGTTGGCAAATACATTAACAATTACACATGTAAACTACTAAAGAGAGACATTAAGAGGATTTACTCTATAAATCCTAAGTCTTTGTGTGTTTTCCTTAACTCAGATCTAATGAGCTAGTCTTTAAAAATATTGAGAATTTGAGGGGTGAGTACAACCACTCAATAACTAAGTTTCACTTAATCCTTAAAGTTACATATTAATTGTAGATAGATGCAAATAGGCACATAACACATATATCACATAGTATTGGGCCACGGTTCACAAAACTAACAACCATGTGACCAAGCTTGCCATAAAATATAATATCATGTTGTTTTCAAAAACATAATTCAGGGTTGCAAAAATAACAACTATGCGCCCTTAACACGTGTCGGACCATAAAACTAACAACCATATGGCCAGACTTATATGCATGATCATGTGCCAACCTTATATCCTCCTATTACCTCCGACATGAAACTAGTGGCTATCACGAAGCTATATCCTTCACAAACTAACCCAGCCTTCCACTTGCGAGGAGCTACCGGCCTAAGGTTAGCTTACTTACTTATATAATCCGGTTTCCCCCAATACTAACAACCATATAGTGCCGTACCCCTAATCTAGCCTCCTCATGAATCAGTGGAGACTAGTTAGGTTTGAGTTCCTTGTAGAACAAGTGAGATAGTCTTAAATCAACCATGGGACAAGGGCTATCTTTTGATTCTAACAGTTGGTGCCAAGGGTAGTTCCCAATTCCAACGGTCACTGCCAATACCACACGAATTTCCAATCAACTGCTCCTCTCCCTAGGCGAACTCTTGCCAATGATCATGCCATGAACATTTCACACATTTTATGTATTTTAACATTCACTACTCAACACATGAACTCACATAACATGTATTCTCCATATTTTAACACATAATTCGTTACAATTCCCCACTCATAGTAATAAATCACAATTAATTTCACAAAATATCAAGGGTGGTAAAATCATGATTTTCTTTCTCAAAACCATTTCATACTCAAGAATTTGCTAATATGTATCATCAAATTAACTCACAAATCACATTTTACAACACAATTAACATTTAACTATAAAAATTAAGTTTCCTCGGTTACCTTAAACTTTTGAGAGGTCAAAGGTTTACCCCTCACTATAGCAACTTCCCCAAGCTTCAACAAGCTCGAAAGGTGCCAAGACAAACCTCTCTACAAGCAAATCATAAGGATATCATCATCATTTAGCTCTTCAAGCTCTATCAATATAACAACTTCTCATACTCTATTTTACCAACTCATAAGCACTACCCATTCATACCCAATGGGCTCATTAGATTCCACTAATGCACATTATCATTAATAACACCTTAAACCATCATTAGTACACATTAACCTCTCCCAATTACCTCATAAATACTAATTTTTGAATATGAAATGCTCCTATGGACTAACCACTTCGAAAATCATCAATGTGGTTCTCCAATACATTGAATCACTCCTATTAATCTCATTTTAACCAATAAAATTAGAACCATACTCCTATGGACCAAAAATCCATCTCCCAACTCAAACCTTACCATAACCAATCATAAATGAGAGAGGGAAGGTAAGAAGAAAGCACCATAATCTTACCTTGGGTGTTTAAGAGCTTCAATCTATCCACAATAGAGCCAAATATCGTACCCTAGCAGAGCCAAAACTAAGCTCTTCATTTTCCTTCTCTCTTCCTCTTCTGTTTTCACACAGCTCACAAATAAGATTTATCATATTTTTAGCTGTGTGCCGTGGCACACGCTGCCCTCTACCATTGCACCCATTACTTTTAAATTGTGTTCATGCACCATAGCGAACTAACCATACACCACAGCATATGGCACAGAACACAACTCTTCACTTTTTCATCCTCTTTCCTTACCCGGATGGCCCGCCATTAATCCGGACCCACTTTTATGGTTGAAATCACAATAATATGCCAAGTTAAGCCCCTCTGGCCACACCTCATTAACTCACTAACTATCCTAATTAAGTTAATAAATTAGGGTTAAGATTTTTTAGATGTTACAACCTAAGTTGTCTCAAGCTTTGGGTAGTAGGCAAGTTGTGGGAGTTGCTATTAATTCGTCTATTAACCAAGCTTGAAATACCTTTGTGAGATTTAGTCCACTAACATTCGATGGTAATATTAAAGAAGGAGAAGCCAAACAATGGATTGAGTACCTTGAGACTATATTTGAGTTAGTGACTTACACTTCAGAGAAGAAGGTGATTTTGGCTATAGTTCAAATGGTTGAAGTAGCTAAGAGATGGTGGGACTCAGTTAGGCTATCTGGTGGTGTAAAATATTCTTGGGAGGAATTCAAGAGGGTGTTCTTTGATTACTTCTCATCATCCTTTTGTACTGAGAAAGAGGAAGAGTTTATTCATTTAAGCAAAGGGGTCTAGATGAAGAAGAGTTTATTAAGAGGTTTCCACATACTTGTAGTACCATAATGACATGAAGTGGAAGGTAGAGTGATTGTTAGAGAAAATGTGTCTAGAGTATCATCAGCATATTGCTCTATTCGATGTGACCACTTATAAAGAGATATGCCACAAGCTAAGAACAGTTGCGAGGAGAGGTAGAGAACTTGAGGCTGAGAAGAAGAGAGATAGTATGGGAAGATTTACTTCTTCTTTAGTTCTATTGGGTGATGTTTTGAGGAAGCTCATTTATAGCTCAAGTAGTTCTAGAGCTTCTAGGAAGAGGAGTTTTGCTAGAGGTTCTCAAACTTAAACTATTTAAAAAGGTTCAGTGTAGAGAGGTACTAGGGTCAAAATTGGG